AGTTGACGGCAGTTGATGGTACATGTACCTGGTAGTTGATTGCAGTCGACAGTAGTTGACAGCAGTTGATGGTTGTTAAAGCCAGCTGATTGCACTTGCCGTCACTTCATTGCAGTTGATGGCAGTTGACGGCAGTTGACGGCAGTTGATGATACATGTACCGGGTAGTTGATTGCAGTTGACGGTAGTTGACAGCAGTTGATGGTTGTTAAAGGCAGCTGATGGCACTTGCCGTCACTTCATTGCAGTTGATGGCAGTTGACGGCAGTTGATGGTATATGTACCGGGTAGTTGATTGCAGTCGACAGTAGTTGACAGCAGTTGATGGTTGTTAAAGCCAGCTGATTGCACTTGCCGTCACTTCATTGCAGTTGATGGCAGTTGACGGCAGTCGACGGCAGTTGATGGTACATGTACCGGGTAGTTGATTGCAGTTGACGGTAGTTGACAGCAGTTGATGGTTGCTAAAGGCAGCTAGCTGATGGCACTTGCCGTCACTTTATTGCAGTTGATGGCAGTTGACAGCACTTGATGCAGCTGATGGTAGTTGGTGGCAATTAATGATAGTGGCAGTTGACAGCAGCTGATGGTAGTTGACTTACATAATGTATGAATGGTACAAATGTAGGTGACGGTAGTTGAAGGCAGTTGATGGTAGTTGACATTACATGTAGGTGATGGCAGCTGACGGTAGTTGACGGCAGTTGAGGGCAGTTGGCAGTAGTATCAGGCAGTTGACGGCAGTTGACTGTATGGTACATTGTATCTAGTTGATTGCAGTTGACGGCAATTGATGGCACCGGTACATGTGTAGTTGACAGTACATGTCATGTACTGTACCGGTCGGTGACTGCAGTTGGCAGTAGTTGCTGGTAGTTGAGCTACAGTACATGTACTTTCTTTTAAAAGACTAATCTCTCTTGTACACCATTTCTAAACATGTTGTGACACGTACGTCTTTTAAGCTACAGTAACACAATCACAAAATTTAAAGTCGCAAAAAACATGGTTTATGTTATTAACTAATCTGATTTGTGTATTCACATACATACATGTATGTACATACATAACAGCCAAACATAAATAAATAAATAAATAGATAAATAAAATAAAATAAAATTAACACACATGAGGTTCAACGAACAAACTGACTGACGTCTTGAAGCTGCAGGTCGTCTGGAACCTTCAACTCCCTTCAACTCAACTGGTTGTCTTAATTCTTCACCCAACCATTTATTTAATTTGAATTAAAAGGTGAACACCCAACATCGTGAATGTAGCCCGTTTCCCTTTGTGATCTACACGTACACGTACATTTTGTGAACAAGGAAAAAAATACTCGAAATTATTTACCTTCTGGAGTGGAATCTTCATTTTTAGTAACCAAACAGCACAACTAAAATTGTCAACAATTTACCGATGTACACATGTACTATGCATGTCGGTCTCCATACAGTTATGATTGTTTTGTAGTGGAGTTTCTGTACTATACGTGAACATCAATGGTTCGTGCAGCTTGCAGTTAGGCAGATCATCATGTGATTGAAAGCAATACTTTACAATGATCTGCTGTCTAGTGGTGACCTTTGAGATTGGTTTGGACCATTCATTCAGGCTTGATGTGCACTTGATAACAATTGCTCTTATACTAAACGTTCACTCATTTTATTTTTTCCTCATCAGCAAGTTTATAAAGTTACTCTCTGGCCAACTCGCCCCTTGCTAACTCGCCCCTCGACAACGAGTTCGCCCCCTCGCCAACTTGCCCCTTAGCATCTCACCCCTTAATGAACTTGCCCCTTTGATTTTTAAATTTATTTTTATGGTACATGTACTTTACTTTTGGTTTTAATTTTTATTTTGTTTTATTTCAGAAGTAATAGAATAGTTAAAACCAAATGTAATGGAAGCGAAAACTAAACTTTAAAGCAAAACAATTAATACTAACTGAAAGTAAATATGAAAAATTCTTGCAATCAAAAATGCTAAAAAGATGCATTCAAAAAAAAAAAGAGTTGATGTGAATACCATAGTTAGCGGCAGAAGAAAAATATGGTAATAATATGATATTTGTACGATAGCTGAATCTAATTCCCAGTATTGCTGACAAAAATCGGTGCTTAAAGTCCGAGTCCATCATTTGCAGGTATCCAAAAAAGTAACCGGCGTAATTACTGTTGAAAAACAAACTTGGTTGAAAGATAGTAAGGGAACTAAACTCCCTGTGAAATTATTCTTTCTGGGAAGCTGTCATTTTGAAGTAATCAACGGAAGAAGGCATTTCCAACGGTGATTCTTAAGAAGCACCGTAGGAAAATTTAAATTAGTAGTTCGTTTTGTTATTCGGCGCAGCGCGCACAAGTATTGGAACGACGCACACGCGTGCGCGGTTGTTATAATTCGTCGGATCATGCGCGACGCCACGTATAGCTGCAATTCAAAACAATTCAGAACATGATTCAGTAACTTTTGATTTGAAATTGAGATCTTAGAATGCTGCTTTTCTCGGAATGTACATGTACAGCTGAAGCTTAGCTGAAACTTCATTAGGTTAGTTGCTCAGTATCCTTCATTAGATTTTGAACACTTTTGTTGCTTCAAACGAACAAAATGCACTAATTACAAATGATGGACTGTAGCTTTAAGGTGTTCGACTGACGGGGAACATGGTGCATGTGTTCTTGGGCAAGACACTTTACTACAATTGCCTCTCTCCACCCAGTAGTATAGATGGGTACATGTACCTGTGAAGGTAGAAACTTGAATGCGCTGATCTCGAGCTGCTGCAGAAACTGGTCTCATGGCATGATGAACAGGGTTGATAATTGTGTAGCGCTTTGAGACTTTTGGTATAAAGCGCTATACATGTAATACAATGTATACATGCCACATAATTAATTCACAGCACAAAAGAACAGCACTGCGAGGAGCAATGAGGCGTGATCAAATCTGCCTGCTTGCCTGGGAGCTTTGAAAACCACACAAAAGAATAATCCGTAAATAAAGGCCACACTGCCACCATGTACAACATCATGTAGAACCTTGTCAAATTTTGATTTTCACATTTAGGCTTAGTTTGTAGTTTAATTTTCGTGAAATTTCATGTTGAAATTTTGATTACGCAAACGTGTGCAAACGAATCTGGAAATTTCACGAAAAATAGGCATCTGAAAAAGGCAGCACTTTCTGATTAGCCTATAAAGAGGGTGAGTATGCTTCTAAAGCAAAAATAAACTACAAACTAAGCCTAAATGTGAAAATCAAAATTTGACAAAGTTCTACATGTTTTTGTACATGGTGGAAGTGTGGCCTATTTTTACGGAGGTAGTCCAGTAAATTGGCCACATTTATGGGGCTAGGTGAGTCCAGTTGGAATTAGTGTGTTACGGGGACAAAATGGCACATTTTCGAATTCATTTTTTGTACCTGCTAGTCCAACTGAAAAATTTCCTCCTAGTCCTAGGCTCCAGCCCTAAATGACAACCCAATGATAAAATGTAGGGCTGAGGTAACTCCAGCTGGGCTGGAGCCTGGTTGAACACGTAGGTGTATGTACTGCACACACAACCAATCAACTGGTTGTGTGGTACAAATCTGTGCGTGTGCGTCGCTACAACAAGGTCAAACCTCGAAATCCTGATGCCTCGAAAACAGGCACACGGACGGATATATTGTGCGCTTTCTTGTCATTTGCGCAATCATAAGAATGTGCATGCACGTCTTAAGAATGCGCAACAAGAGAAGCAATCTTTTCGATGCCGAGGACCAGCTGCGCATGGCGAGTCTAGCTGCATCCTCGTTCACTGATTAATTTTTGGGCCGTACTTAAATAATTATACTGTGGCAATGCAAATTCACTAGGAAAAAGACATAACAATGTAAGGTAGAGATGAAATTATGCGTATTGGGGGAGATAATAAGAGACTAGCCCCATAAATGTGGCCTATTTACTGGACTGCCTCCGTAAACATAGGCCACACATCCACATGTACAAAAATCGTGTCGACGGAGCCAAATTTTGATTTTCACATTTAGGCTTAGTTTGTAGGGTTTTTTTGCTTTAGAAGCATACTCACCCTCTTTACAGGCTAATCAGAAAGTGCTGCCTTTTTCAGATGTCTAATTTTTGTGAAATTTCATGTTGAAATTTTGATACGCAAATGTGTAAAAATGAATCTGGAAATTTCACGAAAAATATACATCTGAAAAAGGCAGCAATTTCTGATTAGCCTATAAAGAGGGTGAGTATGCTTCTAAAGCAAAAAAAACCTACAAACTAAGCCTAAATGTGAAAATCAAAATTTGGCTCCGTCGACACGATTTTTGTACATGTGGATGTGTGGCCTATGTTTACGGAGGCAGTCCAGTAAATAGGCCACATTTATGGGGCTAATAAGAGACATACAAGTTTGGCGGAAAGAATTCTGAACAAAAACGTATAACATGTTCCTCATTCACTAGACTAAACAAAGCACTTCCCAGACTGGTTCCCAGTCCTCCGTCATTACAAAACTTCCCATCCGGGGACAGAAAAAAGCAACAATAACAGTTTTAATGCTTTAATTGAATTCAAATTATCGTACATGTAGTTCAACGGGTACAGAAGCATCTATTAAGATCATTTTCTATTCTCGTCATATGATTATTTCCCCTTTAACCTCTAAATACGTTGAATTTAACATAATAATGCCGTGCAATGTTTGTTAAGATTGCGCAAAATTCAAAGATTGTGCAAAATTCAAAAATTGCGCAAGTAATAAACCCACGCAATCTTAATGAACGCTCATTCTTCAGATTGCGTGCTCATTCTTAAAGAATGCCACTCGTTTTTAAGAAGGCGCGCTCATTCTTAAGATTGCGCAAATTGCAAGAAAGCGCACCACACTCAACAGATACATGTAATCCCGCCCTCACCAACATGTAGACTATTCAATTCATAAATTGCATGTCGCGCCGTTCACGTGCTTGCGTGCACAGTGTGTAACTTGTGTTTAGCTTACCGTGTAGTTGTCAACGGACTTTGCAGCAACAACCCGAACTTCTCGCTTAAGCGAAACCTGATCCGTTGGACCGGCCAAAGAGCCCGATGAGTAGGCCATTATTTGATTTTCACGATAACTTTGATAAATCAACTTTCGTTTCAGTTTACAGTGGTTCAGCTCGACCCTTCCGCTCGGTGATCTTCCAGTTCCATCACTTCATGTTTACAAAGTGACCTTGAGTGATTTTCGCCAATAGAGGGGGCTATTATTGAGGAGCGGTCTCTATCATTTCTATTCGTACGGATTAGTCATTTTCAGCACTTGGCAACCCGTGTCAACAACTGCCGAACTTTGCGCCGTATGATCTGTACAAATTTCCCCTTTTTGCTCGCTTTTTAGTGATTTAGACTGCAGAAATGGCTGTTCCAAGGCAAGAAGAGGCACAGGAATATCTAGAAAAGCAGAGATTAATGGAACTATTCGACAACATCACAGCTCAGCTTGTTTTTCATCGGCCAGGTAGCCAGCTAAGACTGTCACTTTGCCCCCAATCCGGTATCCCTATCGGCCAAAACACAAATTGACAAAAAGTGCCACTGCATGACACTGCCACTGGCATAACTGGACTTTTGGTTTTCGTAGACGGTAGCTAGTGGCTATCGTTACGGCAGCCGTGACGCGATTTCAACTGCTTTCGTTACAGTATCGCAACGTCACCATTGCGAATCTGTAGGCCTATCACATTTAAAACCTGCCCGTCCAATCAGAAAGCTTTGGTAGCTCGATTGGTTACAAGTACGACTACTAGTACTACTACTAGTACTAGGCCTACCGGGGATCAGGGTTCGATACCGCTGCCGTGCTGCTCAATTAAAAAACAAAGCCCTAGGCCTAGTTTTCTTTACTTTCTCAAGTTTCTGTCATGTCCGTAATAAAATCATTCTTTATATTGAAGTAGGCATAGCCTAGGCCTGGATTTCGTTTTCTTTTCGCAATCCGTGGCTGTGGAGGATTTTGTTTAAAAAGGGAAATAAAGTCCGAGAACCATTGGGTTGAATGGTATTCTGGTTCCAACAGCTAAAGATCCTGACCTTGAATACTAGTATTAGGTCAGGGAATTAGATAGTTCCATAACGATGTATCAGTTGAAAATTGCATTACAGCTGCCGTAACGGCATAAATGAACTGTGTTTGGTTTTCCAATGTCATGATTATTGCAGCGATTGTAAAAACGGTTATGTGCCCATTAATTTTAACAGTCATCAATGCATTATTGAGTTACATTCATTGTGAGTAAAATATTATTTTTCCCCCTGCATTTGTGGTTTTGAACAGATAACCCCAAGGCCTTCATGATTGACTACATGGAGAAGCTCAAGGAGGCCAGAACCACACAGCTGGACTTTCCCTGTCTGTTTGATGAATCCAACATAGAGTCCGTCTTTGGGATGCTGGACCCTACCAAAAAGGGATTCATTACCCTGGACCAGTACAAACAAGGTAGAAGTTTGTAACAATTTACTGTAAACTGCTGTCAGTACTGTCAACATGCCGTCAACTCCTTCAAAACACACTCTATAACTTAAAGGGAAAAATACAACATTTGTAAAAATCAAAAAAACAAAATGATAAAATTATCACAAAATACCTTACTAAATTGTTAGGGACTGACAGTCTAAAGAATCCTTTAAAATCGTGGCTCCTGGTGGGCTGACATTTTTAAGAAAAATTGTATTTTTCCAACGCTGGTCGGCCGACCAGCGTTGGAGAAAACTGGCCTTTTTCAAAAACTGTTCTTAATTTTTCATATTTAGTTATTCTGACTTCTTTGCAATTGATCACACACCTGTGAAAGGGTACAAGCCTGCTAGACTGATTCTCTGACCTTACAATTCCCCAAAGTGTATTAATTGCTTCGTTTCATTTTAAGTGGGGTCAGGGAACCAGACTACAAGAACATGATATGTTTTCTTGGTTTTTCCAGCATCTACAAGCCCAAAACATGAAACAAGTCAGTTTAACAATATTTTATATAACATATTAATCCTCCAATCCATTTATTTCTGAAAATTGCAGCAAAAGCCAATGTTGTACATTCCCTTTAAAAGGTCATAACCTGAATTTTCCGTATGAACATACTAAATATGTTAATAGACCTTTATGAAATAGAGTGTACTTTATGGCAGCCATTTGTACTTTAAACGTCACTGCTACAATTGAAAGAACCAGAGTAAATCTCAGGTTTTTGTTACTCCTGTTTGTTACAGCAATTGAAACCCTTGGTTGCGGGAGTGCAGATCCGGAACCTGCCGGAGCAGACATCGACAGAATCACACAAGAGTCATTCACAAGAGAAGTGTAAGTCTGCCTTTGGTTGCCTTAAGTCAGTGTTGCCTCTGAACACAAATACACCAAAGTTAGTGTTGAAGTCAAGTCCACTGCAAGTGACCACAAGTAATCACAAGTCTGTCACAATTCCAGTCCAGTACCAAGTCAAGTCACAAGCTATTCAAATGAACGATGACAACTAAAGACATTCCTTTGATATTGTTCCTCCACTGTTCCTTGTGGCCTGACTTGTGAACTGACACGTTACCAGATTTGTGATGGACTTGTTAGGACTTGCGACTAACCTGACTACATCAATTAAAGGGAAAATACAACATTTGCAAACATCAAAAAATAAAACTACCAAATTATTTTGAAATACCTTGCTGGACGGTTAGTGAATGACAGTCTCAAGCATCCTGTAAAATCATGGCACCTGGAACACAGTCATTTTCAAGAAAAGTGGTATTTTCGTATCAATTTCCAACAATGGTCCGCCGACCAGCGTTGGAAAAAACTCACTTATTTCAAATGCTGGCCCCAATTAACCATTTTAGTTTGATGTTTGCGACCTCATGAACGGGTACAAGCCGGCTAGACTGGTTCCCTGACCTTACAATTCACTAATGTCTATAAATTGCCCCGTTTAATTTTAAATGGAGTCAGGGAACCAGACACAGAAAAGTGATTGTTTCTCTTGTTTTTTATAGCATCTACGAACCCAAAACGTCAAAAAAGTCAGTGTAACAATATTTGCTATATATTTCCAACCCCCCAAATTCTTCCGTTTCTGAAAATTACAGCAAAAGCAAATGATGTATATTCCCTTTAAGTATGATGTGGGATTCCATGAAGGCTCTGAAAAATAGTTGATTCAGATTGCTTTGTATCGCAGTCAGACCCTTGTTCGACACTACTGGCACTTTGTATAGGTCTCGTTCAAATGACGTCATTTCCTACAGACCATCCACGTGCATTTGAGTGTCCACTTGCTTAACGCGCTTCAGCTGCATTGTATTTCAAAAACATTTTGAGCAACAAGCGCGCGTGTTTGGAACATTTTCAACACTGCGCAATGCGTCATTGAACGAGCCCTATATTCCACAGATTGAGAACATTACAAGGTTTTGTTTTAGTTTGAAATCAAAATGCCTCAACCGTCCACTGACTTAGCATCCATTACTTAAGCTACTTCACCAGCAAGTGTCCGGCAGTCTCCTGATGACAAACAGAGCATACTGCTCGAAATGTTGAGTTAAACCAACTGGTTCTTTTCAGCCACACAACTCACAAAGAGATATCATTCACATGGTGTTACCACAAACCTCCCATGCATTCATTAATATTAGTCAGAGTTTGCTGGAATTTCTGTGGCTGTGAAGCTATTGTTTTGAGGAAAAGGATTCTCAAGCCTATTGGTCTCTTGCTGTTGTAGATGTTCAAAAGGAATTTCTCAAAGGTTTCTTTTCAAGTTCATTTTGGGCTTTTGATTTCTGTCATGCTTTTCTTCTTCGGCTAGAAAGGCTGTCAGCTAAAAAAAACCCAGAGACAATCTGGTTTGTTCTGATTGGTTACTGAATATCTTGTTATTTTCCTTGAAGATAAAAAAGGTTCAAGTTCTGTGATGTAATGGTTGTAATTTCTGATGTTAATTTTGTTTTTCCTTAACAGAAAAGTTGCCTTAAAGAAAGCCTCAGCGACCTTTGACCAAGCGTAAGCCGAGAGAAAGTTGTAGCACGGGAATGTTTCCAGATGCTTCATGCTTCACATAAGCAATGCTTCCATGGTTAAGTTGTCAAGAGCATAATTCATTTACGAATGCGTTACATCCCCCAAAATCAGAGGGACAGGATTGTATATGTACAATAGCGTTGCAGTAGTAAATGGAAGTGGATAAATTGACAGCCTGATATGGTAAGGCCTGAAAAGAAGTGGAAAATGCTTGGACCATTTGTAGTGGTTATTTTTCGTTAATTTTAATTCAGTAACAATAAAAGTGTGAAAGGTTTACTTGTCAGGGTTTCTAGCACTTCCTGAAAACAATATTCACTGAGTTTTCCCTAATACAGGGTGAGTAAAAAACCCATATGGCAGGACCAATTTTCAATGAAGTTCTGCATGTAGCACTGTTAAAATCTAGGGTATGAAAGCCCAATTAACAAGCTTTCTTTTAGTAAAATACTCATTCAATTCACTCATGTACTTTTCAAGTTACAGAATTTTAAACACAACCACCGTTTTAAAGTTCTGTCCATGGATCACAACAAAAAGGTAGGCCTAAGTGTTCTTATAGAAAAACGAAAACAATTCACACAAGGGTGTATTTGGGTTTGTTTCTTTCTTTTTTTACTCTCCCTGAGAGATTTCCAAAATTCCACGAGAAATACTTTCTCTTTAGTGCTGGGAAGTCTGGAGGTGGTTGCAGCAAAGTAAACTGATAAAGATGAACTGATACTACATGTATTCACACTGCATAACAAAAACCACCATAGCCAGTCAGTCAATGAACACAACTTTGACACATGGCACAAGATGCACATGACGAAAATCTGTCCCTTCTGGGTCACTGTCAAATTCCCTGAGTTTCCCCTGATTTGCGGTGTCTTTCTTTTCCCAAATACCCTGAGCTTTCCCCGACTGGAAAAATAGAAATTCGTTTTCAAGATTTCCCCTAACTTTCAGAGTGCTTGGGTGTATCTTGGTTGAACAAAAGTGGCAGTATTTTAGAGGAACTTATACACCAACAAAATCTTGAAAGTTCAATTTGCCAGATTGTTAAACATTTTGTACCCAATTGCTGCTGTTTGATTTGAGAATAGAATTATTTTGGCAGAGGATATCAGTTGGGAGGGGGTCGTTTACATGAGTGCTATGTGTTTTTCTGGTGTTTTTTTTATCAGTTTTATTGTTGAAATGTTGTTTGATTGTAACTGTCAGTTTTGCAAGGATTAAATTATAGTCTGTTACCACGGTAACCTCACAAACACTTCATTATCCATGTAATTACAGAACCTTTGCCATAATAATGTTGATGTTGTTTTTCAAATTGGAGAACCAAAACAGAAATCCATAGGTTTTGAAAGTTGGGACAGAAAGTCTGCATTTCAGAAGAAAAAAAATGGCACTGCACTGCCTAGCAAAGCTATAACCTAACCTAAAGTTTTGATACTTAAAGGGAATGCACAACATTTGCTTTTGCTGCAATTTTCAGAAATAAATGGATTTGGAGGATTAGTATGTTATATAAAATATTGTTAAACTGACTTGTTTCATGTTTTGGGCTTGTAGATGCTGGAAAAACCAAGAAAACCTATCATGTTCTTGTAGTCAGGTTCCCTGACCCCACTTAAGATGAAACGAGCAATTAATACACTTTGGGGAATTGTCAGGTCAGAGAATCAGTCTAGCAGGCTTGTGCCCCTTCACATGTGTGTGATCAATTGCAAAGAAAAGTCAGAGTAACTAAATATGAAAAATCAAGAACAGTTTTTGAAAAAAGCCAGTTTTGTCCAACACTGGTCGGCCGACCAGCGTTGGAAAAATACAGTTTTTCTTGAACTTGAAAATGTCAGCCCACCAGGAGCCATGATTTTAAAGGATGCTTTAGACTGTCAGTTCCTAACGATTCAGTAAGGTATTTCGTGATAATTTGATCATTTCATTTTTTGATGTTTGCAAAAGTTGTATTTTCTCTTTAGGATACTTCTCTGCCAAAAGTTGGCCTTAATATGTAAGTGTACAGTCACCATGTGAAAGTGCACTGTGTGTGAGTGTACAGTTGAGGAGTGTAAAAGATAAACTTGTACAAAGTGTAAATAAAATAACACTGGATGTTAAAGAATCTGTTGTAATGCAAGACTGTGCCTCTTCATTTGTTGTAAAAACTTGTTTTCTAATGTAAAATCTACACGGAGTTGGCTATTATTGGATATCCAATGACAAAATAAGATTCTTGACTTAAAGGGAATGTACATCATTGGCTTTTGCTGTAATTTTCAGAAATGAACTATTTGAGGGGTTAGTATAATAGATCAAATATTGTTACACTGACATGTTTGAAGTTGTTTGTTCGAAAATACTGGAAAAACCAAGAAAAATTATGTCTTTATAGGGCATGATAAGTTACCGTGACCAATGCCATCCCTACTTCCTTCACAAGGTTCTGTGAAGCTCATCAGCAAAGCCCTTCCCGGCCCACCGCCCTAGGCCCTGTTTGCAGGGCGGGGGTACGGACGAAGCGCTATCATAAAGGAGGCACATCGGTATCGTGAACACTGAGCTCCCCTGGTGTAATGTGGTATTCTTGTGTAATGTTTTCGTGTATATTTACGTTTTGGGTGTTTTTTTTTTGGGGGGGGGGGGTTAGAATTAAGGATGAGAACGTACTGTTTACTTAATTTTTCAGGAAAATAATGTTTGATTACAGCCTGGTGAAGGACTGTTGGGAACAGTGAACGGAATAGGCATAGAGGCCTGATAAACTGTGTTACCAAACAAATCTGTAAAAACAAATTCTCGTTTCCTTTTTTTCTTCTTCAAAACGTCCGTATTTTCTTGAAATAGTAGTGATGGAGTTGAGAATCTGTATCTCGCCAAATACAAACAGTAGAAGTCAGGCGCGGATCCACAGGTTTTCGAACCCCAACCCCTCCCCTACCCAGCTGGAACCCCCCCCCCTGGAACCCCCCCCCCCCCCCCGCTCTGACACCCGCAAAATAGGCTAAATATTACAAACATGATCAGATCAGATATAGAAATCTAACGGGCCTGAACCCACCATCCCGCCAAAATTCAAAATAGCCTACATAGTAATCAGTGCATTGTTGCGTAACGATAAGTAGCGCACGTATAGGCCTACTACTAACGAGGCTGCCGTGTACGATTGTCCAAACAAATGGAAACAGTTGACTCATTACTGCCCGAAACATCGACTTCAATTGACTTCAAAATCTTGTTCTTAAAATCAGTTCGTCCATGAAGCCAAAGATGCACACAGCAATGTTCCAGGTTTCTCCGCCTATTATTAAGACAAGTTGTTTTTGAGGAGAATTCTAAGGAAGCCTGATGGCCGAGTGGTTAGATTCGTCGTCAACGAATCGCGGAGTCCGGGATCGAATCCCGTCAGTGTCCTTTTGCTTTTCAACACACGCGTTCTATTCAGTCATTATAAGATGTTTAATTTCCCGTCGTAAAACACCAACAGTACCTTAGCTTAACCGGTAAGCACTGCTGCTGGTACTGTCCGCGAGTTCCAGGTTGGCGCCTTCGTACAGGTTCAGGGCATGTGGTCCACTCGGAGGATCAGGGCTTAGGGGCCGCCCTGTTCCTCCCTTAGCTCTTTGCTTTTACATGGTGCCTGGCCCTCCGGGGTTATATGGATGGATAGGGAAGGAAGTGTGTATTGGTCGGGGACGCCGAGACCCCGGAAGAGAACTAAGGGATCGGCTGGGGCATTGTTATGGCTCAGACCGATCCCTGAAAGCTTGACTAGCACATAACTTTTTGATTTTTTTTTAATCCTCTATCTTTTATACTTTGGTTTAGTTTGATATTTACATCTTCTCGGCAGATGTACGGTAGTTTTGAAAACGAAATAGAGGTCTATGTCATGAAATATAATTGACTATAATTAAAACGGAGTTTGGTTCGATCAATATGACTACCATTATTAATAGCGCAATTTCCAATTGTTGTAAGAAACGCCATGTTATACCGGGGAAAAATAAAGATGTACATTGTAATATATAAACATTATTTACATTTTTCAAATAACGTTTCTTTAATTGTGAACGTTCCCAACAAATACAGTTATTCGTAAAATAGGGGAAAACTACGAAAGCCCATTAGTGCCAACATTTTTTTTTTGGGGGGGGACTTTTTTTTTTTTTTAACGAAACGAAGTTTTGGTACGCGGGCATTGCCGTACTTCATGTCCATAATGTACAAGTACGATTTCAGGCCATAGCGGAAGTGCCGTTTCTCGGTCCATGGTTTCATAAAGGCCGCGCAGTCTATTTTAAGAAACTTTTTATTTTTTTTTTTTTTTTTTTTTTTTTGGAATTTTTTTTTGGTAAGGTTTTTCAGGTTTTTTTTTTTTTGAATTTTTTTAGAGGGTTTTTGTTTTGGGGGGGATTTTGGGGGGAAATGGGTTTTTTGGAGGATTTTTTTTATTTTTTTATTTTTTTTGGTTTATTTGTTTTTATTTGATTTTATTTATTTATTCATTTTTTTTGTTGAATGTTTTTTTTATATGATTTTGTTTTTAATTTTTTATATATTTTTTTCATTCCTTCCTCAAATTTCTGGCAGACATCACGGCTGCCGCGGCTCCGGACACACGGAGTCTCCATTTGATTAGGATTACTTTAGTTTGGGTCCAAGTTATGACGAAATAATTACATCTCATGCTTGTAGTCACCCTGCCTGCGAGTGCGGTACATGGGGCCACGTGTATGGGTGGCATCTCAGGGGAAGGGCGCCGCTGACGGCAGGTAGGTAAAAAAAATAAAAAAAAAAATAAAAAAAAATAATAAAAAAAAAAAAAGTTCCCCCAAAACAAAACAAAACCAATTACACAAAAAAATGTTGGCACTAACGGGCTTTCGTAGAAAACGCAAGAAAACAAAGCCCATCACACTTACAACTGGAAATACAAAGTGAAAAACATATACAGGAATGTACATTGAGGATTGAATTGGGAAAAAAAATAATTACACGGGGCTTTTACCGACTTGCTTTTTACTGTCAGTTATGCAGGCGCGAATCCAGAGGAATTTTTTTTGGGGGTGGGGGGTTCGAACCCCTCTCCTGCAGAAAGTTAAGCTATTCTGCAGCGGTTTTTATGTATGTAACGGGCTTGACGATATTCTGACGGACCTGAACACCCCCCCCCCCCCCCCCCCCCAATGCCAAACAACACCACGGGCGGATCCAGGAATTTTCGCGGTGAGGGGGGGGGATTCATCGGCAAAAATCTGAGATGTAGACTTTTTTTTTTCCGGACTCTTGGCCTCCGAAAATCAAAAGGTGGTCAAGGGAGGTTGAGGTGCTCGTACCATACTTTTAACGGGGGCGCTTTTCAA